AAAAGAGACCCAACCAAGAGGTCACCTTAACACCAAAAAAAAAAAAAATTAAAATTAAAATAGATAAATTATTTAAATGAGTTAATTATACCAATAAAATCTGAAACTACTCATGTATATAAGAAGTAACATTATAATTAACAAATTTTTCAGTTCTAAACAAAATAGTATATAAATATTTGTCAATTTCTGCCACTTCTGTTTCAAGTAAATAATTTTTTCTAATGCAGGAATTCAAATTACTGACAAAAGAACTATTAACAACTGATTTAATTAACAAATTATTATTTGTTAAATGCAATGCTTTGTATTGCAAGAATACTTGGGTTTAGAATAAAATTTTTGATTTTTTATTATAGAATATTTAATTATATCATATACATTTAGCTTATATTTTTACAATAATTATTATAGTTATCTTAAAATCGGAATCTGCCTAACTGTTAAGTAAATTGTTTTTGAATTAAACTATAGAATGTAATATGAATAAAGTGTGCCACCTTCGAATGCATGCTTGAAATGTTTTATTAAAAATAAGAGTAACTAGTACGAATCAAAAAAAAACTAACTGGTAGTGTACGTACGTACGAACGAACGAATGTATGGACATATCTGTTATATTTGACCCGGGTTAAACGAGTCACTCGATAGACCCGGGTGGTCCGTTGATCACCCGGGTGACTCGTGGGTCCACCTGTCGGGTGGCGTCCAATCACTAGTATAAATTTTTAAATGGCATATGTTAATTTAAAATCAACATAAATCATGAATTGACTATAACGTTTATACTTTTATGCAATTCAAGCTACTTTGAAACCTTTGAACAGCAATAAATATCTTTTTGCTCGCTAAATAATATAATATAATATAAAAATAAAACAAGATAAAATAAAGTAAAAACAAAACAAGGCAAAATAAATAAAAAAAAAGAAACAATTATGCTGCTTTTAAAATAGCTTTAAAGGATGGTATATAATGTTACGAATTAGTTGACTGATTAGGTGATCAAAAATACCGATCGTTTGATTCAATAATATAATTTTAAACCATAATTTAATCGTTATTATAGAAATATTTGAATATACGGTCTGCCGTTAATCCTTTTGTGTATGGAATTTAAATTTTGCAGCATCGCAGTTTATGAATTTACCGGTATTTCGATTTCGTTGTTTTTTTCCGTTAGGTTTTTTTGGACAATATTTGTAACCTGGATATTTTATCTTATGTTGGTGTTTAGCATCTTTAGCCAATTCATTGAATATTGCAATTACTTCTCGTGGTTCTTCGCTCCACATTTTACTGATCCTTTTAGAAAGTTCTCCACTTGTGAACCTGGCGTTGGGATTTTTAGCACAAATTTCCTTGGCTTGTTTTCTTCTATAAAGCATAAAATGATTCATAGGCCTTGGCGATTTTCCGTTCTTTAAATTTGTAGCATTTAAATATTGCGGCTGGTCATTCAGCTGATTATTAAAAAAATCAAAATAATCGTATAAATTATTCAAAAAATCTTGCGGCTGATTATTAAACTGGCTATTAGCCAACATAAGTTGTTGGCGTTGTAAATCACAGAAGTAATTCCAAAAACTATTTAACGAATCTAGAGGTCTAGCAGCAGAAAACGACAATTGCTTGTTTCGTAAATGACAAATATAATCATGCAAATTATTCAAAAAATATTGCGGCTGATTATTTAGCCGACTATTAGCCAAAATTTGTTGTTGGATTTGTAAAAAAGTGAAGCAATCCCATAAATTATTCAAAGGACCTTGTAGCTGATCATTCGGCTGACTATTTGCAAGTACCCATTGTTCGTTTTGTAAAGTGTTAAATAAATTGCTCAAATTATGTTGTATTTCTTGTTCTACTGTATAATACAAAAAATATTTTATCTTTGAGGTTAGAACCAGGTTACGTTGAATTTGACGAACGTCCAGATAGGCAAAAACATTTTATCCCTTTGATATGTCATTATTGACCCAATAAAAAAAATAAAAGGGTCCGTATTATTTCACCGACAATCATTTAGCCGACATCACGTTAAGTGACAATTTACCATCAAAATGCTAACCCTAATCCTAACCCTATGTGATGTCGGTGAAATGACCCGGTGAATGATTGTCGGTGATATACATGTGGCCGAAATGTTTCGGTCATTTCGGCCACTTGGCAAATGTTCAAAGCAAAGTTATCAATAATTTGTAAATGTGATAGAAATTAGGCCTCATATA